AACAAACAACAGTAATTTCACCGGAACAGAAAGCCATCTTTTAAGAAAATCCTAAACTAAATTCGAAGACTTTTGTCGGCAAATCAATCCTTAAACACATCATGCCGATTCGCTAAAAAACCAAATCAGTCACACAAGTTAAAAAATTTTATGTAAAGTCATCGAAGTGAAAGCCCTTGAATGATAACAGCCAAAAAGACACGACTTGTAGGTAAAAAAAACCAATGTGAATCATCACCGTTCCCAGCAATGTACTTGATGCACATTGAAGCCTAATGACTTATTGTTAATCCCCTATCGCTAAGGTGACGATATACATATACAACCAATAATGTTTGTAAAAGCTGTTTTTCGATGAAAAAAGGAAACTGTAACTGAATGATTAAAACAATGACACCCAACAACGACGGTATAAAAGGTTCGTTGTGATGTAATTACAAACCTAAGTAATAAGTCTAAACGGCAACAAATGGCATCTCTATAGCTTTAAAATTTATAAACACCTCATTTGGTCGTTATATAGGTCAAAAAAAAATTGGTTAAGTTGCTACTGTCGGGTCAGCAATTTAGTTTCGAAGCAAAGAAATAAGGACCTGATAACAGAATATGAGAACACTAATTTGGTATGGAATACGCACCCGGTTACGCAGTCAAACAACCAGTAAAAATGCGATACTTGACAGGCTTTTTCTTCTCGATAACGACCACCAGTTAGCTATAACAGTAACGCCAGCAATAGCAGCCAAAACAAAAACAAAAAGAACAACGAAAACGACGGCACCACATCCAACAGGAAAAACGAGAGGACAGCAACAGCAACAGCAGTGGTGGCAAAAGCAACGGCAACGACAGCAACAGCAACAGTAGCAAAGCAGCAGCAGCAAACTTGTGCTGCATTATTTGGCGAAAATTCAAAAAATTTTTCTTCTCTGCGTATCAGCTCAGTGCTGAAGAGACAGTGGGCAGTTACGCTATTTAACCTTACTTAGCTCCTGAAGAACTGTTGGGGCATTGGTCGCCCAGTCGACTTTACCGACTTTTCGACGGTACATTTAGTGGTATTTTGGTCGTACTGCTTACACTGTTTGTTGTTCTCTCGGGTATGTGCTGCCAGTTGATGATATTAGTTCCAACTAAATGACTAGTTACATAAAACTGGATCGGAATTCCCCTACTTTCTTTTGTCTTTTTTTTATTTTATTTTTATTTTTATCATCCTGTTCTTTCGTTTTACTTGTCATAGTACTGTGAATAATTCCAGTTGACATTTCTGAGGCGAACATTTAACTTAGTTCTGTATTATTCTTGCTAGAGTGACTTTCCTCTTTCTTACTTTTCTTCTTTGTTTTATCGTTGAACGGCATTTGCATCGAAGAAAAGTTCAACGTATATATCGAGTGTAATGCCGTCAGCAAAAGTTCATAAAATTATCTTTCACTATTAACCTTTAGTTTGTTGCTGATCCAGCTGATTCCCAATGATGATCCTGCAACCGCACCTTTATTTTGTATCGGAAATGACTTTTTTCTTTTCGAACTGTTGATTCTGTCCACTGTAGTTAATCGTATAACAGTTTTTAATTTTATTATTTTTTAGAGTGAAATGGCCTTTTTTGCCTTTGTGACCTGGTTCCGAAAATTTTCTTTGCATGGTTCTTTCTTTCGTATTTTTTCCGGAACACTTTCTCTTATATTTTTAACTATTTTAACTCATTTATTACAATGAGTCGGTATAGCTAACTTGCTTTTGGCGTCATAAGGAAACAGTTTGAAACTGATTTCACAGCCAGAGAAAAACAGCTTTCAATACATTCCGCTTTATGTTTGGCTTAATTGATATTTGGTGTTCTGATGGCATGTTTTTGACGAAAAATTCAACAAAACAATTTTTGAATAGTTTAAACTTTGATTTCTTCCATGCAAAAAATCCTGTCTTTTAAGTCTTTTTCTTACTGTATGAAATCTTTAAGTCATGCAACTTGTTATTCAAATTTATTTGTTTCATTTCAAGGTAACTGTTAGGATTCGGTTGTTTTCAGTTGTTTTCCGTAAGCTTATTGTATAACGTTTTTTTTTTTTTTTTTTTTTTTTTTTTTTTTTTT